TCCATGGGCCCTCTCCCACTAGCCCTCTGAGCCCCGCCCACTCTTCCAGCCTCCCCATGGCTGCCCCACCCACCCCAGCTCCGAGCTCTTGAAGGGAAACAAAAACAAAAAGCCTGCACTCACCAGCAGCTGTAGCAGCCTCAGGGCCCACATGCAGCATGGGGCAGTGGGAGGCAGCAGGGATCGCCCCCCCACTTGGCAGCAGCCGGTGAGTGTCAAGTTTTTTTTTTAAATGTCTTAAAGAGTTGGGAGCTGGGGCAGGCAGGGCAGCCATAGCGGTGGTGGGGAAGCTGGGAGAGTGGGCAGAGGTCGGGGGTCAGCAGCCGGTGAGTGCTGGGATTTTTTTTTTTCTTCAAAGAGCTGGGAGAGCGGGCAAGGATGGGGCCAATTTGGAGATTTTGGCTGATTCAGTGGCAGCCAAATCTCCAAATCAGATTTAGCCAAATTGATTTGGCACAGTGATTCGAATCACCGAACTGAATCACTGTCCCCCGAATCAGCTGAATCCGAATCCGAAGCAAATACTAGTCACTTCGCACAGGCCTAATTTGGATATCCTCTAGAGAGAGAATTAAAAAAAAAAAATAAATAACCAAAAGTTGAACACAGCCTGAAAGAGAATATAAATATTTAAGCTTTTACCTAGTTATAGCAAAAAAAAAATAGCCAGTTTCATTGCTTGTATTTATACCAAGTATATCATCTTTATTTTTCAAGAATTCTTGTTGATTTCAGGGGGGGCTGCCCAAGGGATAAAGTATTACTCAGAGGGAGTGAAGGTGAATATTGTCTAAGTAGAGTAAAAATTTCAAATCTGTAAAATATTTTTTTTAAATAGCAAAAATAGGCATGTTTTTTTGTTTTGCTATTGAAGACTTCTTAATGAGTAAATAGGGTCATCCTTTAAATAAAAGGATTAATAATTTCATTATACAAAATACAAAAGGTCTTGTTATGTTGTCCTTAACACTTATTCAGGTACCCTATAAATTGCATCAGAAGCCAACCAGTACAGTATTTTCCTAGAGTACATTTAGAAGGTATATTAAATACCTTTCTTTCTGACCTGAAGTCTAATCTTCCTCACCTATGTGGATTTCCAGTACAGATGACAAGTAAAGCACTATATGCTACACAGGAACTTGCTAAACCTCTAATGCATGTAAGAAATTTGCATCTTAATATGCATGGGACCCTGGAGAGGGAGGGCTTTTGGGTGTTTCTGGGGCTTCAGGGCATCTTGTGGGAAGGGGTTTCTCCCCAATGGGGGTTTGAGCTCTCTCTGCAGTGATGCAGGGGGTGGGGTATTACCTGGTTCTTACAGCACTTATGGGACCCTGGGGTGTTTCTTGGGGTCATTGGACTTGAGGCGGTCTCATGGGAGGGGTTCCTCCCTCTGAGGGTTTGAGCTCTCCCTGCTTCTCTGAGCTGCTGGGGGCTGCCTCCGGCTATGCAAGGCACACATGGGAGCTGGAGAGAAGAGGCAATGTAGAGGAGCTGAGCTGTAAGCCTTGGCACCAGCCTGAGCAAGCCTCGGTTCTGTCATCTGGAGCAACAGCGGCAGCAGCAACATCACTGGCAATGCGTAGGCAGTGGATGCAGGTGCATTTGCACCCCCTGAGATTAGCAGTGCAACCCCTGTGGAATGTGCGGCTGATAGTGCCGGCTGTGCACGCGAGTGGTCACCACTCACCACCCCCACCCCGCCACTGCCACTGCCAGTAGCATCTGCAGAGGGTTGCAGACTGCTGGTCAGCACTCACCACCCCCACCCTCATGCCTCCAACACCACAGCCACCTGCAGGAGCTCCCCACTCAGCCTGCTGCTGACACCACCATGGTTGCCTGTGGGAGCTCCCTGCTGCCATACCACTGACACTGCCACCACCTGCAGGTGGTCGCCATGCCCCCCCAGCCTCCAGGGGCACGTGGCATTTATGAGCGACATGGAGCACACCAGATGGCATGCCTCTCCTATTTGTCACCCATGCTGCCCAGAGTCTGTGGGAACTGTAGGGGGTCTTATGGGGGGAGGTGTGCAGGGGGTCTGAAAGTGATTAAGGTGGGAGGGTTTCAGGGACCCAACCGAAGGCTTCCCTTGCCGGCTGTAGTACATGGGTGGGAATCGGCCCTCCAGTATCCCCTTCTGTACCCTCTTTCCTCAGAAAGGAAAAGAATGATCATGATTCCTTCCTCATGAAGGAAGAAGAATGATTTGAACCATGCTGATACTGGGCTGACTGTAGAGCTAGCTACACCTGGTGGTAGCAATTAGTACTTACCACTTAGAAAGCCCTGGTTAAATACACATGCCATAAAGGGAAATGAGGTGTTCTGACACCACTACCCCATTTCACCTTGCATTTAAAACACATGCAACAGCTTTAATTAAGGTGACTCCTGCCATTTTAAAAGCACTCTAAAGTCACCCATATATATTAAGTGACAGCTTCAGTCCCCTTTAAATGGTGAAAATCATTACATATATATTAAATAGCCTGTTGTTCATGGTAAGACATGTACCTTCTCATGGAGTTTTTCAGAACATTGCGAAAACATAAAAATGTATGTCCTATAATGAACAACTGTTAATACTTTAGCTTCATATAGTACAGTTTGAGCTTGATACATATGTTTTCTGCCACAAATATATAACTAAATAGGAAAGTAAATTGATGTGCTATGGAGCCAAGTTAATAATTCTTTTGGAACCTGAGTTTTCTATTTTCAGAAACATATCTTATCTCAGCATCATAATGTTACAGCAATATTTTTATTTAATTTCTTTCTTTTTAAAAAGAAAAATCAGAGAAAAATAAATGGCTTGGGATTTTAAGCCTTTAAATAGTTCCAATCAAGTTTTAAAGGTCACACTTTAGAGTTGATGGGACTTGGGCAAGGCAAAATTCATAGCTAGTTTAGATAAATGGGTTGTAGAAAATTTGAGTTTTACACATTGAGAATTCTACTGGATGTGGCAGGGGAGAAACAAATTTAAATATGAAAGCTGAAATTATGTAGAATTCAACAGAGATTTGAGAGATTCTAAAAATTTTATATTCTGCTTTCTGAACATGGCTTCCATATGTGTCTTCTGTTTGTTTATTTTTTACTGAGGAAAGTTAGGCTGGTTTCCTCTTCCTGCAGTTTCTACAGCTATCTAGGCTGTAATGTATAATGATGTCTGTAGAAGTCACCGCAGACAAGGAGGACAATCTGCCAACTTCTTATAAATCTAAATTTTGAAAGCACTAAACTAAGATAATAAAAGGGCAGATCCTAACAAGCCTCTAATGTGCCTCCTCTTATGCATCCCAGTGCCTAAAATGTAAGCAACTTGCTCCAGGAGGATAATTCAGATTTACAAATTAGATGGTTAAACTTCCTATAAGGTGAATGGGGAGACCTAGGTACTTTCTGAAAGCAATCCAGATTGCTTGGTCACCTAGCAAGGAAGTGTTTATGGGTAGCCAGTAGGAAACAGGCAAAGGGAACGTCTGAATTTCCACTTCTCCTTGGAGTTTAGATATCTGACTTTGGGCTACATGGAAAGCGCTTCTTTTTTCTTGGGTTCCAGATCACTCAAAGGGAAGATAGCTACATGAAGCATTAAACCAGGGACGGGCAATTATTTTGGGCAGAGGGCTGCTTACTGAGTTTTGGCAAGCCATCGAGGGCCGCATGACAGGCAGCCAGGGGCAGATAAATATTAATCTTCTAAATTTGGGGGGGTCCCATGGGCCAGATAGAATGGCCTGGCAGGCTGCATCTGGCCCCCGGGCCACATTTTGCTCACCTCTGCATTAAACCCTAACTCAGTGGACTGTGAGGTGGTATCATCCATCCTATGGATCTCTCCACAGGCATTGTGCAGCAGTGACTGTATTAATTGCTGTGGTTTCCAGAGCTGCAGCAAATAACACTGCTACCACTCCGCCTCCAGCAACTTTCCAGTCTTGTAGGGATCCTAACAGGCCAGATGAAAGTCCCATGTACCAGGGGCATGAGGCAAGCAGATGGCTACATCTGACACATGGGACTGTACCCACATACAGACCCTGTACACAGATCCAATGTTGGATTTGGCCAGGGGGCTGGAAGGTTAAGCACCACTGTATTAACTGACAGTAGTACTGAGTTCAATAAAAAGCACAGCACCACCTGTTCACTTTTACCTAGCAAGTCAGAAAGTAGAGTTCTAGATACAGTTTACTATGAGGAGATCTTCTACTTCTGATAAAGAGTTCCCCAAGCACCATGCTGTGGGGTAGGCTGAATAAGAGTCCCACATTTAGGTTTTCATCCACCCTTCTCTTGAAGCAGACCCTGGGAAGTCACAAAAGCAAGATTCATGAGGTCACAAGGAAAGCAAGCAAGAGGAAGTGTGACTCCTACTTCAGTGGTAGTGGCATTTCTCTGGAAGCAGAGGGGAGTGCTGGATTCTGACTCCTTTATGCCAGGATTATTTCTGTTTTGTCCTTGAAAATGTATAAAAGTGTTCAGAGGCAGAAACTGGGTATGTGATTCTGTGGTGCAGCGAAGAATGCCATGCATAAAGAGGGGAGTTCTGGGTTCCGGTCCCTACTGCCAGGCCTGACTATGTATTTTTCATTTATGGGGTGTGTGAAGTAATCCTATATATATTTTGTAGTGAGCTTTGTGATTTGCTTGTAAGGCATTCTTTCTCTGGTAAGCATGTGTTGCAGGGAGCAAAACCCAAGCTTGCAAATCTGACTGGCAAAAGCATTTGCAAGGCCTCTCTGACTCAGGCCCCTTCAAGAAGAGAGACTCTGCATCTGAGTTCTTCATCACGCAGTACAGAAATCAACCACAGGATGGAGCTTTTGCTCAATCACCCAAAAACTTGTATCTTCTCAAATCTCAGTCAATGTACAGAGGAGCGTATTGCCGAGGCCATGAAGAAAACAATCCATGGAAGGCAACCACAACAGACTCCTGGACCATCAGAGCTGCCAGTTCACTTGGCTGAGTCTTTAAAACTGTCTAAAAATTCAGCTGTGGAGTCTCAAAGGAAAGGTGCCACCGGGCTTATACCAATTTTTAAAGGAAAGTTGCTGCAAATGAATATAAATGCCACAAGAGCCGTTGATGGAAATAAAAAGCAGACTGTTTTACAACGTTCCCCAAAGGTTGTAAGGGATGCAAAAGCCTCTAAAATACCTGTAGACAAACCCAGTGTACCTCAGGTATATAAACCTGTCCAAAATATGTCAATCAATCTTACTAATAGCAATGTTCCTCAGAGAGTGGCTGCAAATGCCAAAGTAAAGCATGGTGAATCTTTGTGTGACCATAAAACAGAACCTGGAAGGCAGCTGATGAATTCTCTTCTTTCTAGTGGCTCAGCATCAGATAGCAATTCAAGTGAAGTTGAACTCAGAAAGCAAAACTGTTTGTTATCTGGTAGTGTCAAATTGGGACTTCAAACAGGAAGTGCCAATCTAGGATTGAACATACCTGTAGGCCTTGACCCCTGTACAAAAAGAGGAAGAAAGTTTGCAAACCAGAAGACCACACAAATTCTTGGTGAAAGGCCTGGGTCAAAGAAAATACATCTGCAGTTCTGCAAGTCAGACAAAGAAATTACAAATTCCAGGATATTGCAGCATCAAACAAAATGCCAAACTAAAGGAGTAGAGTCAAATATTCACAGATTGGATTTAAATAGTACAATGTATGCTGTCAAAAGGGAAGAGCATCAAGAATCATTGCAACCATCAAAGAAATATAATGCTAAGACAACCAGTCATCACTTACAATTAAACTGTGAGCAGGTACAGTAAATAATACTTATTAGTACTTCCCAATTGTATATACACTGAGGTTATTTGAGTTTTGTTTTCTTTAAAGATGTATTGGGTAGATTGTGTATTTCTCACATATGCCATAAAGATCTAATTCATCTATAAGGATCAGTTTGGTAGACTGTAAGATTTTATAGCTTGACATTTGTCTTCTCCACAGGTCTTCATTCGTTTCCATTGTCTTTTAAAATGTCAAAGCCTGTAGAAATGTGGGACTCTGGCTTATTAGTACCGTCCCATGCACGGGTTAGCTGCTAGTGTTGGGAGGGGCAGCAATAAAATAAGATTCCAACAGATAGTGGTATGTTCTTTGGACAGCAAGTGATAGATTTAACTGCATAATTCATGGTGGTGTTAATGGCCAATAAAAGTTACAGATTAGGATGGATTATAATGGTGAGATCCAGCAAAAAAAAACATTAATCAGAAGTTGAGCTGTTCTAACAATTGCAGTAGTTGTATATTTTACTTAATGAAGTAACAAATCTTCTATTTTAAGATGTTTACAGAGACAGACTCCAAAGGAGGGATTCGCTTTAAGAAAGTTTCAAAGAAAGGATGTGGCAAAAGACAACAGGTGAAAAGTTTAATAACATCCACAGGGATTTGAACTAAGCAATATGAAGGAAAGCATGTACTTTCTGAATTCAGCATACTATCTAATTTTACAAAACAGGAAATGTAAAATCCAACTCCTGACCTTTTGAGGAAGTTACATTTTTTTAATTTCATTTCTGCATGGTTCAGAATTTTATTTTTGCCAACTCTAACATTTTGAAACACTCGTTCAGAAATTCAATACTAGTATCTACACATATTAACTAAAAAGGTTAACAGTTCTCTTTAATTTATGTATATGTTGCTTTTTCTCATTCCACACAAACAAAAAAAAAGTGTAGAAAAATACATTCATAGGAATATAAACTTAATTGTGATTCATTAAACTTCCTGGTAATGGTAGTATATCATATTTACTCAAATCCAAGGCAACATTTTTTCCCTATTTAACATGTCTTGTGGGGGAAGAGGAGGTGGGAGGAGGAAGGCACCTGCTGTGATTCTGACTTTGGCCCTCCCTGGACTTGGGGTTGCAGTCAGAGCCACTGTCCCCACCTCCCCTCCATGAAAGGATCACGAACAAATTAAGAATGGATTCTCCTTTAAAGGAGAAAAATCATGGGAAACTGTGGCTTTTCCCTTGCTGGCTGGCAGAGGTGCAGCCTGCAAGGGGCTGGTTGGGATCCCTCATGCCCCACACATACCCACTCGGGGGGCTGGGGCCTGGGCACAGGGGGCAACAGGTTGGGAGTGAGAGACACTGGGTTGGGACTGGCCATCTAAGTTTACAAATGGGTCGTGGTACAAAGAAAGGTTGAAAACCACTGATTAGGATTTAGAAATACATAGAGTAGTTCAAATTGTTCCTTTAAGCTTTTGTTTTTAACAGTAAGTTTCATCTGCCATCTCATTGCCCATTAATCTTGTTATGAGATCCCTCTTAAATTACCTTTTGTCATTTATACTTTTCATCATTCAAAATAATTTGCATCATTAGCATGTTGTCACCTTGATACCTTTTCCCTTTTCCAAACTATTAATATATTAAATAACTGGGATCCTATTATTTATCATTGTTTGTATTTATTCTGGGACCAGCATTCTGTTTTAGGAAGAGAGTCATTGCCCTGCTCTTCACACCCTGCCTCTCCCCCTTCTCCCTCCCCTCCAAGTGCACTGTCAAGTTAAATGCCCATATTTTGAAAATTAGGCTCCATTTAGGGATCTCTGCTAGGACATCCAAATATTGAGGGTTCCAAACATGACCAATTGTTTTTGGAAATCTTAGCTACTAGCTTGCCCAACAGTTAAAAATTCATCTTCCTTTTTACCATTGTATTATATTATTCCTACACTTTGAATATTGTTTACACAGATCCATCAAAAGTAATTTGTCATATATTTAAAGTGTTTTAACTTTTCATTTTTTACCAGACAATAAAAATTGCTATAATTAAAGGTATAGTTTATTCTTCCTTGGTGCAGTGGGGATGGACTATATCAGTGGACCAACCTTTTTGGCAGGGATGCCACCTGAGAAGACCCATGCCCTCATAGAATCATAGAAAATGAGGGTTGGGAAGGACCTGAGGAGGTCATCAAGCCTAATTCCCTACTCAGAGTAGGACCATCTCTCAATTACATCATTCCAGCCAGAGCTGTGTCAAGCCGGGCCTTAAAAAACCTTCAAAGATGGATATTCTATCACCTCTCTAGGTAACCTGTTCCAGTGTTTCACCACCCTCCTAGTGAGAAAATTCTTCCTAATATCTAACCTAAACTTCCCTTGTTGCAACTTGAGACCATTGCTCCTTGTTCTGTCATCTGCCACCACTGAGAACAGTCTAGCCCCATCTTTTTTGGAACCTCCCTTCAGGTAGTTGAAAGCTGCTATCAAATCCCCGCTCAGTCCTGTCTTCTGTAGACTAGAGGAACTTCCTTCCTTCCCCTGATCTGCTGTTCTGCTTCCTACTCCCTGCCCCTCCCCTATCCCCTGTGTGCTACAAACACAGTGACATGCATGCCGCAGATTGGCCACCCCTGAACTAGGCCTCGAGGTCCCTTGTAGCCATATTTTCTGTTTCTCTAGCATTGCCTTCTTAGCTGTTGATGAAGCATGATTCAACACAAATCTTGTTTTCCTGCTTTAATTTGTTAGCAGGAAGAAGGAGGTTGTACAAAATCAAAGAAATCTAAGATAAGGAAGGCTGCTATCTAGGCTGTGGATGTAGAAGAATGCAGAAAGAAAATATAAGGTATTTCTATTACAAATCAGAAAGATTTCCTTAATAATAATACTACTGTACAACTAATTGCTCCCATCCTTAAGGTTCAGGACTACTTTATAAAGGAGTCTTCTCACTAGACAAAGAAGTGTCTTCTGAGATAAAATACTAACACAATAACAAGCTTGTTTTTGGTTTATTGGTACACTTGCAAATAAAAGCTGCCTTTCCATTTTCCTTCCTTTCCTAGCATGGCCTTTCCTGCAGGTAAGCAACCTATTAAACTAGAGAAGAATCCTGACCTTGCAAGTACTTAGACTTTTTGTTTTAAACACAGGTATGACTGGACAATTTTTTATTTCCATTCTTTTTCCTTCACACCAAGAACACCTAGATTCTCTGAGGGCAGTCTTAATCTAAGCTATAGTTCACTTCACCTGAATAGAGTCCTATGTAAGTTTTGGTACGGTGACTGGACATCTGAGTTGTGGCCATATCCAGACATGCATGGATGTTATGTTCCCTGGGGACAACTAGCAGCAGCATACCTTGTGCCGCTGCTAGTTGGCACAGGCATTTTCCCAAGACATGTGCCCTCTGTTGCGTGGCAAGTTACCCCAGGTGGGGTAGGGGAGGCTACGGCCAGCACTGGGCTGGCTCCAGGAACCTTACCTGGGGTCCTGAGGACCTCCCAGGGTTGCAGCAGTGACAATCCTGCCGTTTGAAGCCTGGCTGGCAACGGAGTGCAGCTTCGGCCAGCCAGGCTCTGGCTTTGGGTGGCACACACTGCCACCATGTACGCTACGCTTTTTTTTCCCTGCGGGTTTTTTTGCCTCCTGAATATCCAGGGGTCAAAAAAGTGCTCTGCACTGTTCTCTTGCAGCATAGAGAACTGAACATGAGGTACATGGTGCCGCAGACATGTTTGAGGTGCTACATACTGCATGGCACCATTCATCTAGACGCAGCCTATGAGTTCAAAAGAAAATACCAAGTGATTTAAAGAATAGAATTGTATGAATCATATCTGAAGGAAGTGTGCATCCTGCATCATGCACAACAAATGGAAGAGTAAAGGATATTAATAATGAGAAAAGTGTTTAAAGAATGTTTGCTTAAAGAAAAATGCTTAAATAACATGTCAATCTAGCTTCTGGCTTCAACATAAATGATGATGGGCTGGCATGCATTCCCTCTCTTTCAAGCAGTTTATTTCATATCCCTCTGTGTTTCTTAAGATGGATTCATTTCCTGAGATGAACATTCTCGTTCTATTTTGTTCTGCTAGAAACATGCCTAGTCCCTTAATCATTGCTCCATGTAGTGCCATCACACCTAGGCCCTGACCAAATCCAGTGCCTGTATCAAACATTTGATTATCTGTCCTTGAGATGCGATGCAATAATTCCACTTCAGTTTAAAAAACAAGGCAGTTTAGGCATGGCCATACCTCACAAGAAGTCTGTACTACAACTTGCAGCATCTGTGTTTGTGGCTATGTGCGACTGTGAGGACCTGGCACCAAAGACATTAATTCCGAGATGCAGTAGCGCAATAAAGGGGGTGGGGAAACTGGAGCACCAGCCTCAGCTACGGACCCTGGTTGCGGGCAGGGTGGCACAAAAAGAGCAGTAGCTGTGCTTCCAATGACAACACCAGTGCAGCCAGGGAACTGGCCCCATGTGTGGCTACCACCCACAGTGCTCAAAATCCCATTTTCGCTTTTGCTAAGATGTGAGCCTTAGCATTATCAAAATGTTTATACTTAATCTAATTTCAGTGTTACATGACAATAGTGCCCAGATGCTGCAAGCAGGATCAAGAGTGCATTTCGCAATATATCATCTGTTCCAACACATGATAGAAGGAAAACTATCCTGAAGATTTCAAAATATAAGGCTTCTAAAGGTTTCGCTGGTGCTGGAGATGGCCTAAAGTCTAGTACTGTACTAAACTGAAAATGGCAGGCCTGGTTGAAGTTAGTTTACCTGAGCAGGTTTAACCCAATTCAACAAATGTCTGCACACATTTACAGGGCAACCCTTGGGCTGAGAAAGCCCGGACATTCACTCCAGCCCTGGCGCTATGTTATTCTTATTCACCCCCTCCCCCCACCCTAAAGGCTGACTGGTCTATTTTTAGCCCCCTCAAGCCCCTACACACTAATATGAACAACCCCCCGGTGGACTCACCAGCCCCTGTCAATTCCTCCCACCACGCTGCATTTCTTACATTGGGTTTCCCGCACAGCTCTTGGCACCAGCAAAAGCTTATACATGATGTTCCAATCTATCCTAATGCAGCTTAAAGTTGCATGACTATAGACCCAGTGAAGAGAACATTAGTATGCACCCCGAGACTCTAGCCCCAAGGGGCCTTGCTCTGGTACAATGTAGTTCTCTTGCTCGCTAGCTTTTCTTTTATATCTTACTCTCCTCCTGTTGTGCTGGTGGAACACTCAAATGCAGTGTTTGCAAATGCTTATTTGCTTTTCAATACATTCTCTCCTTAAAGTTTTATTCCTGAACCTTTATCAGTTACTGTGAGGCAGCATATATCTTTTAAATGAATTCATAATCATTATGTGTAGGAGGGGTTTGACTTATGACTGTATAAACTCACAAGTGATTATAGCAAAGGGTCGGTTTTTACAATGAATAGGAGCTAAGATCCTCAACCTCCAGTAACTGGTACTGGAAATAAAAAGTCCCAGTATTCTTAATTGTTCTGGCATGAATCAGGAATATTTCCATTGAAGTCAAGAACATCTCATATAAAAACAGCACAAGAAGAGCCCAGGCCCAAAATTTAATATATATATTTTTTGTATACAAAATCTTTTGGAAGAGGATGTGGGCCTTTCCTTTTACAAATAGCAATGCATTTTAAGATTAAGGACAAATTCAAAAGAGGTACTACCTTGGTCCCTCCTGAATCAGATAAAGACGTGGCTTTTTTCATGAAATGAGGGTGGGGAGCAGGGTTGGGTTGGTTTATTTTAATTGGATCATTCTCATGGAAGAAGAGTTTAGTTCTAAGATGGGCCTGATAGCTAGCTGTCCCACTTCCTGGGAGAGCATTGTAATCAGTAGGCTGTTTTACAGGAGGTAGGTGGCAGCACCTACCTTGGTCAGCCCAAGTGCTGCAATTTCTGCTGGGCTTAGCTGGTGTGCATCATGCATGCTTTGAGCAGCCTGGCATAAGTAGGCTACTCTAGGAGTGTTCGTAGGGTTTAGGTGTCACTCCAAATCACATCTGATCACAACAGAGCTTACATGGGAACTAGAGCTAGCAATAGACATGCGTGTTTGCATTTGTGGAAAAGACTTACCGGACGAGGAGTGGAGACGACAGGACACCGCACCAGAAGATGAATGTGGCGAAAGTGAAACCACGGCGTGCGGAGCTGCGGGTAAAAGCCAAAAGGAAAAAAAAGTCCAAGCCCAAAGGAGCCGGAACCAGCTCCCTCGTCTGTGTCGGCATGCTTTATAATAGTGTGCCAGGACTGATTGGTTGGCCAGACCCCCAGGTCTGGGATAAAAGACCCAGCAGAAGACAAGCGGAGGGGACCTTAAGTGGAGTCTCCAACCGGCCCAGAGGGGCCAGAGCCATCAGGCAGTCCCAATGAGGGGACCTGGTTGTTACCCCAGGAAGGGGTCTCCGCGAGAGCACAGGGCCAGAGAGGGCCTGAGGATTTACTTACAGGGTTGTTGTGGACAGAGAAAGCCTGCAGTGAAGACTGGAGTCCGGCAGGACCCAGCAGTACCAGAATCCAGACACGGCTGACTGACGGCAAGTACCAAACCCGGGAAAGAGCTGACGCTTCAGGGGATGGAATGGTACCAAAGCTGGACAAGGTATAAATGGAGGAAAAGGGGGCTGTAGGAAGCGCTCAGGATAGAAACACTGCCCCTATCCTGCGGCCATAAAATTCCAAGCCAGAGCACCAAAAAGGTACAGGACATCAACTCCAACAATACAGGTGATGACATTGTGGTTGGCCTTAGGCGGGGTGTAGGGGAGGCGAAGCCCCAAACAGGAGGAACAGCGGGAACGACCAAGGGGAGGCGCCAGGGGAAACGGGACCAAACATCTCCCTCCCAATCAGAAATTATTTATCATCAAAGATGTGGCAGGAAAGACCCCGTGGGGAACCAATCCAAAGTCACCCCAATGACCAAATTGATCATTCCTAAGAACAATGGCGAGATTTGAGAGGAACCCCCATTCGCGACGCCCAGGGGAGAGAGACAGGAGGCTACAGCATTCTAATTAGAATGCCTAGGGGAGAGACGCGGGAGACTGCAGCATCGCCTCTCTGTCATGCATTTCAAAATGGCCACAGGGGTGCTTTAACTAACCCTTGTTGAATCAGCTTTAGTTAAAGCACCCCCATGGCCATTTTGGAACATGGTGGGGGGGAACCTTAATACACATGACAGTGAGGTGCTTTAGAGTAACTGTCCGAAAACTGCTGTAATTAAAACGCACTCCCACCCACCCCCCATCCTCCCCACACACCACTTCTGAATACATGTATAGGCAACCTAGATGCTTAGCTGTTCAGCCCATATTTAGGTCCTGGTGAACTTTGTAGTCCAAAACATAAGTACCAAATGAATGTAGGTCTCTGATTTTTTTTCTTTTTTTTTTTTTTTTTTATGGCTAGTGGATTAAATTTTTTTTTGGTCTTAGGTGCCATAAAACTCAGATTTAGCTAATCCTGCACACCCATTACAGCTTAATAATGCCAGGTATGATTAATGTTTTCAGCAGTAGCTTACAAATCTTTTTGTCTACTTTTGATTTGCTTTAGAGTGTAAATTAAAAAACAAACAAACCAATCTGAAGATGTTTGATATCCTACACTTACTCTATAATAAAGTTATTAAAATTGATTTTTCTGTCAGAAGTTGCAGCTAAAAGGAAAGCTGAGCTTCTAGGGTTAGACCAGAAGAGGGAGCTGCAGAAGAAAGGAGTGAAACTGTGCTAGAGGACCTTTAAAAATGAGAGGGAAATGTTACAGAACTAAAAATTGTTCTATGGTTCAGTCTTGATTCATAGAACACCTCTTGATGGTCCACAGAGCTCTGCCTTGTCAAATAGTCCTGCTTTTTTTTCCTTGGTTTTAATCGTTAAATTTCACTTGAAAAAACTAAAAAAAAAAAAAAAAAAAAAAGTATGCTAGTATTACTTTCCTATTAAAGCACTTTCTGAAGCTGACATAGGAAAATTATGTACTTGCAAATAAGAAAAAGGGGATTCCCCAAAGTTGCAGCTAGAAAGGCAAGTGATCTTCACTTAAAAAAAAAAATGATGGGCCAGGAGGTCCTCCAACCTCTATCAAGGTGTAGTTGTCTGTTAAAATGTAGTTAATACCGGGCCGGGGGGGGGGGCGCACGGGGGAACAGCACAGTGAGGAAACCAAAACTCCCGTTTTCTTAATTAAAAATAACTTATCATAGGGGATGGGTGCATTCATTCTTTTTTTAAAAATCTCTTTAATAAGTTTTCTTAATTTGAAGTGTATAGAAATCAAATACATTGTAAATTCTGTTTTATGTGAATGTAGTAGCTATTGGGAGCCAGTTTTTAATAAAAAGTTTTTAAATTGAACATAAAATGTTTATACAAAAATATTTTTGATGAAAATGTTTGGGTTTTTATTAGGACATTTTTACTAGAAATAGAACATTTCTACGTTGTTCAATGAAAACTCAGTTTTTCCATAAAAAAAATACATTTCTTAAAGCTCTCCAGCCATACCAATAATCCATTTGATTGTGTGCATAGTAGACTATTGGTACCTTTTTTCAAGTGGAATAAACACCAGTCATGGACCAAGAAAACACTTTATTATTATTTATTTCTATGATCCTGGCTACCTGTTTGTTCTAAAATTAAACACTGTGCATATAGCTCCTGAAATACATAATTTGCTCCCCTTGATGTCATTTTGCAGTTGCTTCTGGATGCAGTAAAGTGTCAGGGAGCTGACCATTACAAGATGGTGAAACTTGATTTCTTCACATCCTATCTATTCCTCCCCTTTTGAACCAAGTATGCTAGTATCCCGCCTCATCAACATTGGTACAACCAATGAACCAACCATTGGTTCCACCACTAATGATCCTCCATGCTAAAACACAACTGGTTTTAGTCTTTATACTGGGCTATTCATAAGTTATCATAATAATATGCAACTGAAGCAGTTCTTCAGAGATTGAGACTGAGAATAAGATTGAGGGTAGGTATCCATGACCATTTATGAGAGCACAGAAATTCTCATTTTTACTTAAAAGAGAATATATATATAATTAATTAATTAATATGATATGGTATGCACTTCAACCTGGTAAATGGAATCCAGAATTGTACTAAATCATAAATAGGATGGTATTTATTTGAGAAAGCTACCTGGTTCTCCTTTTGTAAATTAAACTTTCGTTTTCTCTACTTCCGAGTTTGAATCCTAAATAGGGAACTGAAATGAATCTGCAGTGAGTTTAGTGATATTTGCTCTGTTTTAGCATCACTGATACCTAGGACAAGAGGACCATTATATACTTCAGTAGAGTTGAGTTTTTGTACAAGTTGAAAGCCGAGAGGGGAAATTTAATGAAACTGAAAATGGATCATTTAGTTGGGAGGGAATCTTTTTATTTTTGTCTAATACTTGTCATTTCAATGATTAAGTATTAAAACACTTGTTACCAAACTTAAGATTTCTCCCAAATTGTTTGTCAGTTTAAAGTCACAATCCGTTGAGATAGTATAGTTCACACTTGGTCCAAACCCCAGGCTTTTTTCATTCTTTAGTACACCTTACAAAGTGTTAAACAAATGTTTAGAAAATAAATAATGCCAACTTTCTTGGAAGATTCATCTGCATGTTGGGTTTGTAACACCAGAATCCTTAACAGTCGGTATGATTTCTAATGAGAGCTGGTTCTTTGGGATGAATTCATTATGTAAAAGATTCATCAAAGTCCAGTTGGTAACACCCTTCAACAAGTCACAAAATATATTGCTAGCTGCCTGATACTTTTGAAAAGCTTTATCAGAATACAACTAAGATTACACTCCGTATACATCTTTATTTGCAATTATTACATGCCAACTCCACAAGTTTGCTTTTTAATAAGTAACTTTTTGTATATGAAATAGAAATGACATAACCAGTGTCATAGTGCTAGTTTCTTTTACTGCTTGGAGTACTATATTTTAATATATTCTTTGGGTGGATATTTAATACATCAGGCCTCTTGGTTTTGAAGCCTAATACATAATGTGAATGCTCTCTGGTATGCATCACTGCAGTATATGCTTGCCAAGGTCTTTTTTCCCTTCAGTGCAAGATAACTGTTATCATTCGAGAATTCCATTTAATCATTATTTAATTTGGTTTTGCCACAAGACGGAACACAGAAGGCATTGTTTGTATTTGCTTTGTCTTGTAGAAACTTTTCTGCCAGAACTATGAGTAGTTTTGGCTTGTTTTCTGCCATGAAATATTTTTCTTCTTTAATGGAAGTCCATTCCCCTATTAATTGATAACATTTTATTAATTGAGGCTGGTGTTTGACAGCAACTGGGCACTTGAACAGAATAGAACTCATTTGCAAATACAAAAAAATGAGGTCAACACCAGTGTGGGTTTTCAGAGTAACAATAAAGATCACACTTGTTTCCCTGAAAATTAAAATGCAAAGCTGCTTTTCAGACGGTGCAGAACAGTTATCTTTTCACAGTTTTGATTATATTTGACTACATGTTAGGTAGTACATATTTCCTGTTATTGAAACAGTTAGAAAAGATGTGCTTCAGAATAGCTGCATGTTATTTCTGCAGTAAATTATTGTGATGTCGGAGCTACTCTCTAGGAAGCTGTCACCAGGCAAATGTTTTGTTGCAATGCACTTGCATTCCATTTTACTGATACAGGTTATTTTGAATTGCATTTATATATTTAAAAGTGGATATTATATTTTGTGTTCTTTGCTGCCTCAAATGCAGAATGATAAAATAATTGTAAATCTACGTTATCTGTTTAAAATAAATCATAGAATAATTCACCCTTGCTAAGTTGTCAGAAATATTTATCAGCTGAGCAGCAGACAAATTACTGCCACACCTCCTAACTAAATGTAGGTTTGAGTGTGATGAGGAAAAAAAAACCTGCTGTTGCTTTGGGGATGGCATGAATACCGTCAACTCGGATTGGGGAGCATAAGCAGAACTGTCCTGCTAGTGGTCTAAGCAGGCTTAAGG